TCTCTCTCTCTCTCTGCCTCTCCCTTACTGGCATGAACTCTTGCAGGCTCTCGCTCTCTCTCAAAATACATAAACATTAAAAAAAAAAAGAATTGGGGAAAAGGATTCCACTACATTTTAAACTCCTTCAGGAAGGCATACACTGAACCTTAAGAATGAAAGGTAGGTGCCCCTACATTTTTGAAACCGTACCAGTTAACTAAGCCACCAGCATCAGCTTAAACCAGAGGCTGCCTCGTGTATGTTCTGGATCTCAGTGTCTGATCTCAGTAGGGGAAGAAGGGTAGCCAGTATTGGGTGCGTGGGACCATTTACAAGTGAGTATGAACACTTCAAAGGACACGTTCAGCCCCATCGGGCTGTCCTGTCACAGAACTGACTTGCCCTTAGCTCACTGTTGAAACTGGCCTTATAATCACTTCCCTTACCGGCTCCTCCTTTCCTTCAGGGGCTCTCCATCACCCAGGAATCAACCTGCCCTGATGGGATTGCCTGCGAATTCTGGGCAGACTGGGCTTCAGGAAAAGCAAATGACAAGTTCTCAAGTGTGTCACCCATGAACTGTGACAGCTGTGATGTCTGCTATCAGAAAAGATAAGAGTCCAGTAGAAACAAGAATCAAAGGCAGGAACAAAATAATGGGGGGCAGGGGGGGTAGAGAAAAGGAGTTGACACTGTGGTACGGTATACAAGAAAGTTAAGAGAGTAGATCTCAAGAGTTCTTAGGCAGGGAGCAACTTTTCTTTTTTTGCTTTTCTTATTGTATCTATATGAGGCGAAGACGCTAGTGAACCTTACTGCGGTATCACGTCACAGTATGTGCAAGTTAGGCCACCATGCTTTACGCCAATTATATCTCAGTAACCCTGGAGAAAAAAACGCAAAAAACAAAACAAAACAAACAAAACTTCCCCCAAAATGGAGGGAGAAGAGAGCAGGAGAGAAGCAGAGCAAGAGGTAAACAGAGGCTCATGTTTTGTAAACTTTTCAGGGTTTACTTTATTGTCCACCCCTCCTCTACCCCACCACAGCAGATTTCCTCCGGTTTCAGGGGACCTGGAGGTCCTTTTCAGTGAAAACGACTTCTCCCCCAAAGCACACCTATTGTCTTCAAAATCCCCCTTACTCTGGGTTGTAAACATTGCTGAAATTCACATTTCAGCATTGTTTTGTGAGATTTATTGGAATGCCCTGAATGAGTAAAGCACAAATTAAGGAAGCAGACTCCGCAAAAAAGATTTTCTTTTCAAAGCAATACGTGAGGGAGCTGGAGGTTCTAAGTCAAGAGCCTTCGCAAACATATTTCTTGAGGTTATGCCAATGAGAGTTGACGGTATATGTTAATTGGACTTCACGTTAATTTGTAAGCCATTGAAAATGAGAGGTAATTTTGCTCGATACGTATATCTTCAACGTGTGCGATTTGCTACTGCACTTTATTTATTAATACATCATCTCTCATTTAGGGTGTGCCAGAGTGGGAATCTCCTATTATAAAGGAGGGAAGTCAGCTGGGGGTAATTGAAGTGTATACAGTGTTATGCCACTGGGAAGCTCATTGTGTCTAAACACATTTTTTAAAAGGCCCATGTTTGCTTTGTTTGGTATATATCCTGTGGGTTAGATGTAAGATGGGGGAGTATTACATTTGCCTCCTGTCCCTCCCCACTGTAGGATAACCAAATTTTCTAGATTTTTGAGGCGGTCGGTTTTCTTTTGCTTCGACTTTGTTCCCCTAACCTCCTGCTAAGCCTCTCCAGCTTCTCTTTCTCTGGCTCTGCCCTGGGACAGGAGCAAAAGTTTGCATCAACCCACAGCAAACAGAGGCCAATGGTGTTCACAAGGACACCCCAACGGGATTGTCCACTGGATCCTCCTGGGCATCCCTTGAAGCGGGCTTGGCCACATTCCATGGTGGCCCCTCTTTCAGCCAACTGCTGTTTAAAGGGATGCAGTGCCCTTGCCGACTGGTGAGGATCCAGAGAAGATGACAAAAGTTCAGTGGTACCGAAAGTAAAGACGTGCAAATAATCTTGTGGCACATTTCAAAGTCTTGCCCCATAAACTAACGGAGAACACTGGAAATAACATTTAAGCTATTTGGGGGAAAGTACCAAAGAGGGGCAACACTTTACAGAGCTTCTAGAGAGCATCCATACTATAATCCCAGGCACCTTTAAAAAAGCCACTTCAAAGATAACTTGGTAGAGCAAAATGGACACGTGCTTCAGGGGCAGAAATAACGATAGGCTGGAATCCTGTGCCAATCGCATGAACGTGAGCAAGCTTCTTTATGCCTGCAAAGCATACTGAGTGTTAACCCCTGCATCACAGACTCATGGGGAGAGTTCCTCATGTGCAAAGCAACTAGTCCTGAGCCTGGCCCTTGGTGGACAGCCAGCGATTATGAGTTTCTATCCTTTTGGGAGACATAGCAGAATGGAGGACCCAAGTCTTCTCTATCGGAGAAGCCCTGAGAGGGAATTATACCAACTACAGCCTGAAGGGAAAAAAAGACATGAAAGTGAACATTTAGAATGTGGTGATGGAGAAAGTCTAAAACAGGGCAGGGTGTGGCTTCTAAAATGTGGCTTCTGATGTCCACGCCTGTGGATAACTAGGAAACGAAGGAGAAACTCACATCAAGGATTTCCTTGTTGGCTTTTGGAGATGTGGCTTCTCGTAACTCCTTGATGGCCACGGGAATTTTAACCTTCTCACCTTCTGGGATCCAGAGTCCCTGTGACGAGGAGGGAGAGAAGACATTAACTGGCGACTGTCACACTATGCAATATGCTGACTCACAAGATGCACGGACTTTACCAGTGACACCATCCGAAAGGGTGAGGGACCTTGAGCACAGCTCTGTGCTCCAAGGTCACCAGTGCTAGGAGCCATGATATCTCAGCAGCTCTTTGGCTATATCGTGTTCCATGAATCAGAGTAGTTAGATTACAAAAAACCCTAAGCTTGTGTGAGTTATAAAACCAGTGTGGATCATTTTGTCCAGAATTCTGAGATACTGGCTCTGGGTCTAATGGAAATCAGACTTGATATAACAGGATCCAGGAAAAATAAATTAAGAGCTGTTTTGACCTGGGCATTATTTGGATGCTGTCATGCAGTGAGAGGCAGTCCCCCTTCAGACTCCATCCCTGCCACTCACCCCTTTACAAAGTCAATGCTGTCCTCCACGATAACTTTGTTGTCTGTGTACAGGTCTCACAGGACCACTTATACGTCACCAGTATAAAAGATTCCCTCTCGACAACTTGGGGAAAACATCAGAATTTCCCAAACCCTGAGCTACACATAGAGTAGACAAGCTTGATAGACAGTAGACAGCCCAGGACTTTGAATATGCCCACCAACCTGCATCCCCAGAAGTCTCGGTGCCCTGGTGGCCTCACCTTGTACACTGTGCCAAATGCTCCAGAGCCCAGCACCTTGATCTTTTTGAATTCTGTTTCCTTTAAGATCCTCAAGAGAGCTTGGTTGGGAGCTTCTCCGCTGGGCGTAAGAGGCTCAACAAGCTGTGAGAGACAAGGAAGGAGGGTCGCGGCCTCAATGCTCAGGCCCACATGGGAGGAGGTGTGAGCCAGGCCCAGACACAGCCATGTGTGGATGGGCGTCAGCACCAAGAACCCGCCATGCTCACTCGGAAGGAGGAACGCACATGTTCTCTTTAGGACTTCAGAAAAGATATGTTGGGACAGGGACTCCCTGATACAGGTGTCCTCGCACAGAAGAGCTCCATTTCAACAAATGCAATTTCGATTTCTGTTTCCAGCCAATAAGCCGGACTGAGAGAATTCTGGTGAGGGAAGTTTTGATATGGTTGGTCATTTTGGTAGCCTGTCGGGCCTCCTAATGCACACAAGTGCCATTGTGCTATGAGCTGCTACGGGTCCCTCCTCCCAGGGACTCTGGCTTCTGACACACTGCCGGACACAAAGATGCCGGCCAGTAGAGTGAGTCACAAACAGAGCTCAAAATGGAACGGCACTATTGAAGACAATGGGATTTGCCAAAGTAACATCTCAACATGTGCCTTCACAGGAATCACCAGACAACCTGTTTGCAAGCCCTTCTCCTGTGCATGTACCTGAGTGCTGTATGTTAAACAGGACTCCTATGGCATTTGTATCTGTGTCGTGAGACTTATAATAGGAACATTGGCATCTCACTTCAGAGAGGTACCAAAACATCATTAATTGTTTATACCTGGATATTCAGAGATTCTTTCTGGTTTTTCCATCGTAAGCAATAAGGCATAATAATACAATTACATATTTAAAATAGTTGGCAACACTTGGCAGGAGAGCCTTCGTTCCTGTCTGGGGTGCTGGGAAGAGGGGCACTGGTGGGCGTGCGGGGCCTGGGCACCTACTCACCTCTCTTTCCTGCAGCAGTCTGCGAAGTGTGCGCTTGCGGACGATGTGGCGTCGGCGCAGAAAGAGGCCCACCCCAAGGGCCACCACCACCACCAAGAGGAGGCCCCCAACAATCCCAGTGGCGATGGATGGGATCTTGGGCCTGGAACAAGAGGGAGACGTGGAAAAGTGAGGTTTGGTGACAGACTCTATTACATTGGCATTGTATGTATTTCCTGCATGTTTTGGTACATTGACATCATTTAACATCATCTCAGAAAATAGATACCATGTGGCTTCTACAGAGAGGAAAGAAAGCAAAGAGTTTCTAGGGTAGTGTTTCCACCTTCTTGAGCATAAGAGGCTTTGTCCCCA